TGCGACAACGACTATAAATATTCCTCAACAACTCAATATAACAACGAAAGATCCTTCATCTTCGATAAGTAGCCTGGACCCTAGCTTGTTGTCTGGTGAATCACAACTAGAGTTGGAAGAAGAAGCCGAGCGTGGAAGACAAGCCCATCTTAGTAAGCCGGCAAAATTGGAGAAGCGTGCAAGGTCACCTCGGAAATGGAATTTCTTTCACCGGCATGCACCAAAACCAGAGACCGAGATCAAATCCGACGCGGTACCTGTCACTATTGGTAGACAGCCTGTCAAGCCCATACCCCACTACGCCATGTTTGAATTTTCTGATGAGCCAGAGGATACCGATAGTGTGGATTTAGCGGAAATTTTGAGAGATTCAGAAGTGGTAGGACTAACTGATGAGCAATTGAACGAACTTAGGTTTAGTAATTACAAGGAGAATATCCGACGTATTGAGGAGCTTCAAACAGCAATGGCACCTTCACTTCCAGAGATGGTTCCAGCGACGGTTGCTTTTTCACCACCGGAATTGATAATTCCTTTACCACCACAAGTTCCTCAAACTCAAATAGAATCTCAGGTTCAAAGAGAAGGGACACCTATTCGACCAAGTCGCCTCCAACAAGTTGGTCGCATTCCAAAAGTTGTATCTGCAAGACCTGAGGCTACATCTCCAATATCTTTCTCGAGACCATTTGCAAGATTGAGCACTATACAGCCTTCCATGGATTTGTCTTCGTTTGATGTTGATTCTGTTGCTTTGGGAGCAAGTCCACCGAAATTTTCTAGCCCTGAAACTTACTCGGCAAAATTCAGCAGTCCACCATTGTATCAACGAGAATTTCTGGCCTTTTCACCAAGAAGGTCTCCTAGGAACAATTCCACAGCTACGACGAGTAGCTCAAGCACAATCAATTGTGCTGAGATCACGGCAATTATCCCCGAACCCGATTCGGCGTTAGTAGAAGATGAAGTATGGGACGAATACGACGATTTGATCGAAACGGAAAGTACGGCGAGAAAATCTCGCATTGTTTCTACAACATCATCTTGTGGTGTTCCATTTCAATATGAAACTTATCAAAGTCCCTCTACCCGTGTTATCAAGCCCATGCTTCAAGCTTCTCCTTTTCCTAATCGCGAATTGCCTGAATTGCCACGTCGAAGATCTGCCATTACGTCTATAGCATCGAGTTGCTTTAGCATCGATGTGGACGCGACTATGGAAGTTGGAGATCAAGATACGTTGAAATCGAAGCCCTCGCCAACAGCCCCAGCATTCTCTCCCGAATTACTCAAACGCAACAATTCTCTTCATTCGACCAAATCTCAACAGCTTTCAATAGTTGAATCAAGGAAATCTGGTTCTAGTGATACATCACGAATCTCAGGAGCTAGTCTTCTAAGGATTGAATCTGAAGAAAGCAATTCTCCAATTTCACAAGTTAATTTGAGAGTTGGAAGTATGAGTGTTAGTAAATGGCTTACTTTTGGGAATGTATTGTTTAGTCCAGCTAGAGATGAGGTAGGCAATTTGATGGATGGGCCCAGGACGAAATGTCATTCCATTTTGGTTATTGATGGGCTTGGCAATGGTATGTTTGATCCATGTTTATTCTTGGCATGAAACTAATACGCATTAGACGACTGGTCTTTCTATGCAGCAGAAACTTATCCGACTTGTACATTTTACAATCTATCCCCTACCGCTCCTCCTCCAACTGCCAATACTAAGAACCCCGCCTACTTACTTCCACCTCCTAATCACCGACAAATTCAATTTTCTCCTCTCAGCAGCACTTCGAAATTTCCCTTCCCATCCTCTACGTTCAGCACCGTAATTTTCCGCTTCCCTTCCTCTCTCACAACTCAAGTCTACAATCACATCCTATCCGAATCTCGACGCGTACTCAAACCAGGTGGATACATCGAAATTACACTTCTCAATCTCGATATGTTAAATATGGGACCTCGTACTCGTCGCGCTGTGCGAGGTCTAAAAACAAGGTTGAAGAACAGAGATGAGGGTGTTGTGTTGGGCAGTTTGGGAGATATGATTTTGAGAGGACTTGGAGCGAGAGGATTTAGGGATGTGAAGAGTTGTCGGGTGGGGATTCCGGTGGTGGGACTATTGGAAAGGGTTAGGAGTGGAAACGAGAAGGAAATTGAGGAGGTTCATCGACGAAAGGGAAAGAAGGAAGAACGAAGTTTGGCCGAAATGATGAAGGAGGAAAGTGAATCTGCAGATGAAAGTATTACGCGGATGGTAGCGAAGGTGGGAAGGTGGTGGTATGGAAGATGTTATGAAGCCTCTCTACTTGCTTTTGAATCGAAAACTAGGATGGAGAACGATGAGAAGGAAGGGAACGCAAAAGAGAAAGAAACGAAAAGCATCTTTACCGATATCAAGGTCTTAGACGAATGCGAGAAATGGAACGCGAGTTTCAAATTGGTGGTTATACATGCGCAAAAACCAGTGGTGGTTAGGAGGAGAACTAATAGTGTTTGAGGTTTGCTCTATCAAAATGACATGATTAATGGATGAAAGAATGGAAGAGGGGAAATTTTTAAAATTTCATGAGATGGTTGGATGGGTGCGAACCCGATTTTTTGTATACAGGATCTTTTTTCTTTTTTCTTCTTGGATTCGGTTCGATTCGATTCGGATGGAGGTCACCGGTTGGCTTTTTTATAATGCAGTGCGATCTGAGATTGCGGGTTTGATGATTAAGGGTTTTGATGGGATGAGGTGGGATTGAATTGTATGGGGTGAGAGGAGGTGGATGAAAGAGGTGGATGATAGAGAGAGGGGGAGAAATACGGATTATGAATTATGATGAATTTATGAAGTTTGCTTTTTGTTTTTATAAGTGGTTTGGGTGGTGGGGGGTAATTCTATTATGCGGGGTAAGAAGAGCTGGGCGGAAGTGGTAGAGAGGAGAAAAGATATCCATGGGGAAGATATTGAGTGATATGTATCGAGAGATGGGAGATGAGAGATGAGAAAAGGGAAGAGAAGATACTGGATTAGTTAGGTGGTAGTGTAGATATAGAAAAATGAATGAATAAATGAATAAATCATAAGTCAGATAGTTGATAAAAGTGAATCAAGGTACACCTCCTGGATTATCTTGCTTTTCGCGAGAAGTGTTAGTAGAGTACGTGGTAGGTAGACGAAAGAATCGATCCGGTGTTAAGCAACAATCACAATGATCCATTACAAATTGAACAATCAAAATATGCATAGATTTGGATATCAAAACGTGGAAAAATGAATGTGACAATTCTTTCTAGGGGGGGGAGTGTTCAGTTAGTTTATGTGTTGTATTTATTAATGCTCCTCATTTCCTGTTATTAGATTGTTTTTTTCTTCTCGTGGTTTTTATACAAGGGCTAGGGGTTAGGGACTATGTCAAGATGGTTTGATTTGATACGGTGGGAAGGTTTTTGGTGTGTGCGTAAATGAGTTTGTGTTCGCTTAGTGCTGGTCGAATAGAGGGGAAGATTCTTGCATGGTTTGGAAGGCTAGTGTTGTGTGATTGATATCAATTGCTTCAAAGCAGGAAGCTAATATGCTAGTAATTTGTAAGGATAGTCCGACTTCGAGCTGGCTTCGATAGAATATGGTTGATAAATGTTACGATCACATACTAGAGGATATCAATAGAGGTCAAACAACTATATTTAAACTACCATCCCATGCCAGCCAGCCAGTCAACACAACAACAAGAGTATCCACCATTTCAACTCGACTTTTATCTTTCGATACCCGATGATAACGAAAGACTTCTTAACCCTTGGAAACAAGAATCATGATCCTATCACAACTAATCATGTTATGAGTCGCACAAGCAATGAATAACTGAAAGTACTTGTGATATTCTGCTCCCATCTTCCTGGGATCATACGCTTTCATTCTATCTTTAAGGTGGCACCATAAACAATTTGGCAAGGCATCTGGAGATGTGTAGGCTTGCTAGTTGGACTCAAATTGTGCTTATATCTTATTTTGTTTGGATATTATTCGAAAAGTTCTTCGAGTGAGCACATCGATCGCTGACGTTGATGGCTTTAACGCCTTTCTCACCTTGAAAACATGAGGACTTTGATGATAAGTGGCACTGGGTATCCACATATGTCGCAGTCGATGCTTATTGTTTGACATTAAGGTTGCTCTGTATCCTGTGCCCGTGATATATTCTACAATTGGGAAGACATGGTTATCATGGCTCCAGAAATGACACCCATTACAGTTGAATTTCATCACAGTCACGTCTATTTTCGGGAGTAAGAGCTCATGATTTGAAGTAAAGCAACTGGAATTATTCATCATTCAATCTAAATACATGAAGAAATGTGTATAAGAAAAAAGCAGAGACATAAAGTAACACCGTTGTGACAAATTAATCATCCTTCTTTGGTCTAACGCCCAATAACAAACACATCTGATATAGCAACTCCTTCTCATCGTATTTATCATCGAAGTTTACTCTGAGAGCATTCAAAGTGACTGGTTTACCAGTAAAACGAGCATCGAGCACTGCTTGATAAGCTTCTTCGTATGTCATACTGGTAACACGCGCATCGGAAGCTGGTGTTGCAGGTGGTTGAGGCGAGTTGTTGTTGACGGTGGCGGTGTCGTTGGTGGTGGTCCACGGGTGTCCGTGGTGGAGGGGAGGAGGTTGTTGATGGTGGCGATGGTGGCGATGGTGGCGTTTGAGTTATTATTGGCGGGGGGGAGGTAATATAAATTGGGGTTGGGGGGAAGATAAAGTTGGTGTCGTGAGGAATACGGTCGCTTCCCACGAACCTCTCCATAGCCTCATTCAATGGTTCTGGCTTATCATTAAGAGGACATCGTAACACAGAGTTCTTGAAGTCTAACAAGAACATCACCACGTAACAAGTTTCCGTAATGACATCTTGGGCGAGGGCCAGGTAGAATTTACCACCACAATGTTAACAACTGCGAATTCTGCAGATTTATCCGTAGCGTTGGCAACTCGTCATTCGATGAACAAGTTGAAGTGGTCTGAGAAGCGGGAGGTTCGTAACACTTTGTTGACAGCTTTGTGAATGCAGAAATCCACGCCGCTAACAGACTTCCAAGCTTTGGGGTGTGGAATAACCACAGAAAGAAAAAGAGTCGACAACTTGATGTCACCTCTACTGGTAACAAGGCTAACATCTCTCCAGCCATGAGCCGGAGGTCTGCCACTGTCGAAACTCTTTTTAACAAAGCAGAAAAAGAAGCCGTGCCATGGTGCACCTTCGTAACCTATAACAGCATCATTCCATCCTTCCAGGCTATCCTGTAGCGAGTAACATGCTGCATAAATCTGCCTCTCAATAATAACACCCGATGATCCTGAGGCATCGTTTGAGGTTATGAAAGATACTTATCAATCGATCTGCCTTTCCAATCATCTCAAGGGAAGAGTCCTACCATTTGTAGTCTTGATGGAAAAGTCGACAATTCGAGAAGCAGATTGTGGATTTCTCAGGCTGCTTGTGACTTGTGGAGTGTTCCTCGCGACGATGCTGTCGATTACGATGTCATCCGAAAAGAGTGTTCTTTGCAATCATCTCAATGAGAAAGGTCCTACCAGCTGCAGCCTTGATGGGAAAGTCGATAATGTTAGCGGCACGATCTGAACCTTTCAGACTGCTCTTGACTCGCGCAGTATTTCTTACGCGAAGACGCTCGATTGCGATATCTTCCGAGGCAGTATTGCTCACAATGAGGCGCTTGATTGCGTTGTCTTCCGAAAGCAGTGTTCCTCGAAACAAGACTGTTAATTGCGTTACCATCCCAAAGCAGTAATCCTCGCAACACGGCACTTGATTAAGATGTCTTCCGAAAGCAAAGTTCCCCGCAACAAGACTCTCGATTAAGGCCTCCGAAAGCAACATTCCTCACAACAAGGCTCTCAGTTACGATGTCTTCCGAAATCATCTGAGACGGCAGCAGAAGGTTTTTCCAAATGGTAGACTTCTCTTGACATCGATCATTTGGCCTGATTGTCACGTAAAGAAGTGTCATTCCACCCGCGGCTTTGCAATCAATGTCGACGTTGCCAATAGTGCATTCTTGACATCATAAGATCTTATGCCAGGTGCCTGTATCTTCTGCAGTGTTCCTTGCAATAAAGCGCTCGAATGCGTCTTCCGAAAGCACCTGAGATCTGAGCAAAAAGTTATATCAAATGGTAGATTTCTTATAATAAAATGATTATAGCTTTTGGAGCAAGGTGTTTGGTTATATCTTCTGAAAGCATCTTAGATCTAAGCAAAAAGTTATGCCAAATAATCGACTTCTTATAATAAAGTAATTATAACTTCTGGGATAAGGTGCTCGATTGCGTTTTCCGAAAATATGTGAGATCTGAGCAGGAAGTCATGCCAAATGGTAGACTTATCCAATCACCATCGAGGTATGCATACACAAAGATCCATAAGAAACTCATCATTACCGTCAGAACCCTAACTGATACTTTCTTCTATAGAACTGGGACAACGGCTGGGTCTATTCAGAACATACTCATTTAGCAGGTACAAAGGATACCGACAAAACAGACTTTGACTTTGACAATAAAATCATACAGTCGACAATAAGCAGATTTGCAAGATGAGCCTTGAAGGGGTAGTTACTATACCGAGACGCAATCACAAAGTAGACGAGGATGGCACATGCAAATGCGCCAAGGCGCAACCGCAATGAAGAGTTGATCGAACAAGTTTGTAATATAGTTCGACCGCACGAATACACAATTGCCGTATGGCATGAGGCTGATTATGGTAGAAGCAAAAGCGTACCAGGCTCTGGGTGGTGACAGTTGGGTGGCGGCGGCGGTGGCAGCAGCGACACAACTGGGCGTTGGAGTCATATAAAGCCTTGGGCGGCGGCGGCGAATGTCGAGCGATGGAAATCTAGGGTTAATGATTTCCAACAAATGGGCAATTTCCTTCTGGGGTTCATAGACCTGAATCTGTTGGCATAAACTCCTACATGATAACATATTCAAGATCTAGATGGCCACGAAGAACTACGGGGCAGCCATCTGGTCGTTCTGGGTGTGGGTCTAAGGATGAGAGGTATACTTCTAGTGGTGATGTAAAGGAGACATTGGGTTACAGATTCCGTTGCTCTTGGGAACATTGTACAAATTGTCAGACGGGAAGGGAGTGAAGGAGTAGCGTTGGATTATTAATAGCAGAATGGAGACTTTCATTAAGTATATACAATCGAGTGTACCATGGACTTATAATATGTGATATATCGTGAGATACATCTATGTCAATGCCCATAATAGCTTGAAAACATGATAAACTTTTTTGGCATGGTATTGAAAGTCTAGTAAGAAACATTTTTCGGTTCCCTTCCTTATCTAGAGTTCTCTTTCACGTCATCAACTCTCCCCAGGCCATTCCGCCTTCCCTCCTACGATCCTTTTCTGTTCCAAAAGTTCATATTACATGTCATTTCATGGTAAAGTCCTGTTATCCTTGCCTGTCTCTAATACATTCCGATTCTTGTCTCCAGCGGCGATGACATCGTCCTTGGGAAAATGCTCAGGTTGTGATTGAGAGTTTACCCTAAAGTCAACTGGACCGAGAGGAAGTTAGAAAGATACTGTTGATACTTGGGAATTGTATTTACCAAGCTAATATTGAGTTTTAAATCCTATGAGAGGCTTTGTTGACAAAGTCAAGTGGGTGTATATCAATAACCACGCTAGTGAACAGCAGTTGAGACACTCGTGCTTGTGGTAATCATAACTTTGAAGATCTGATCGTAAAATGTTTCGAGTTCCATTATCATAGCCATCGTCAGTTGGGTTTGTTATACCAGTCGAGGAGGAAGCAATTGACATTGTCAAACAAGCCATTGATGGTTGTGGTACAGCTGATCGGTTTTGGTGGTTAAATATCTTGAATATTATTGTATATTATTAGATCATGCACGCACAACTGAAGTCTCCGACCAAATCGACTGAGCTTGACTACGGTGGCATGATCCAAAGTTCGGTACACTTGGTGTGATATTGATCAACGGAGTGATTGGGACGATATTTCACAGCTACATTTGGTTCCCTCCGAACTGTAATACAGTAAAACCTCTCTATAAGGATCCTCTCTATAAAGATAACCTCTATTATCCTTTTTTCTAAATCTCAAAAAAATTTAGACCTAAAAATGGCCTATATCTTTAAAACCTTTTCATAAAGATATCCTTATATATTTCGATTCCAGGATTATAATATATTAATTGGATAACCTGTTTTAATCTCATTTCCTCATTTTTTTTGAGATTCTTAAAGCTTGAGTTTAGTTTTATTGACTTTTATTCTTTAATTTATTATTCAATTTATAATATTATAATCAATATTATAATTAATATAATAAATCTTAATATAATACTTATTATAAGTCTTTCTCTATTTGGTTTTCAAAAAAGATTTATAACAAGTAGTGTAGAATATTGGTAATTGTATTGAATGCGAATTATTGAAGGAGCGAATTAAAAATATTTCATTATTTGATTCAAATAAAAAACAGGATGATCTTTTATATAAGGGTAATGTTTTATTATATTTAGTTTTTATATAAACATTTCGATTAGCTTTCTATATGTATCTTATATAAAGAGGTAGTGAAAGTATTAGAAAAGTTGGATTTATTCGAACTTCAAGGAGGTAACAACGATATTGATTTTAAAGGACTTGTGAAGAAAACTAAAAAGAAAGTATTACATAGAAAGCTTCATACTATTCAACAGCACTCATTAGACTCTTATTTTAATCGTTAATCCTTATTTTTATTAATAACCCTTCATATAAGGATACCTCTATATATTCTTAAAAATGACCATAAAAACCAGTATCCTTATAGAGAGGTTTTACTGTACTTTGTATTGAGCTACAGGACAGATTCCTTTAGGCATATGCAATGTGCGTGCATTTTGAAAGGAAATTTTGCAAACCTGAAAACTTTCAATATCGATATAAAAGTCGGTGACACCCTGGAAAGATGTAATGACTTTACGGTTGGGCAGCAAGGATTGGCAGTACTTGACCATGATACGTTTGAGAGCTCATATGAAATTATCACAACTACCGGAAGCACCGGTAAAGCTTTCAGCTACAGCAGAAAGCAGATCGCTACTTAGAAGAACGGAGAGGAGTTCCGGGCGGAATGTAATGTAGCTATCATAGTTGATTCAAATTACTAGGGCACATTGAAATTCAACTTGGCTTTCATCACTATTGACATCCTAAATCGAAGCGAACAGTTTTAGGTCAAGCAAAGAACTACTCTAAAGAATCAACGGTTTTCGAAACCATGACGATCCCATACTCTCGGGAATAAGGGTAAGGTGGAGTTTTAAAGAACTCGATAAGAAATTTCGCATGCAACGTAGACGGCACACTATACCATCAATATCAACGGGTCAAGGGGTTCAAGAATTGTTCGAAAGGAAGTCGAGCGATCCCTAAGTCTAGCAAGGAAAGAATACCGTCAGTCGATGAACAAAATGAAGGATATGCAAAAGCCATTAATACCTAGAAAAATAGCACTCCTCAATGTCCGGATGATTTGAGTGCCGATATAATATGGGTATAGCGATATAATTTCCTAAAATTAGTCGACCTGCACATCAAGAGTAGCGAAGAAATAAAATGCTTAGAACCCCAGAACATAAGATATCACCAACAATCAGCCTGCATACCTATCGTGATCTTCATACTCGATTATAGTTTGGTAAGCGCCGGTGACTCAATTGAGTCAGAATTGTCCAATTTTGCATCGATTAGTTGTCATGATTTCAAACACTTCATCTGAAGTATTCGCACTCTCTATTAATCGCTGAACATCTCTCCCAAGCGATGATGATTTTCCCATTATCAATAAACCCCTCTTCAGCAGTATCGGAATATAGTATCACCTATTGTCGTTTCTACATACGATGTAGATTTCCGTTGATCTTGGAAATCTCCCATGCTTATACAGATCTCCCAATATTCCGGTACATTGTCGGGTACAATCCATTCCCCTAACCCATTTTTTCGGTAGCCATTCAGAAAACGTCTCGGCAGTAAAAGTTGAAATGATTGGTCAAAAATACGACGCTAACTGTTAGATATCTCGCATCCATCTCTCTCCATCCATAGTATTCTTTGATGCTCCATTCCAAAAAGCCATAAACAAGTAGCGACAGGAGGCTCAAATGAAATTAATCCATCTCCGGTATCTCCACTCATAAGAAGCGCTGGAACCACTGAGTTAACAGGGCTCGAAGTCGCTTCAATGATCAATCCCCCACTCTCAAATTATCCACTTTCGCACACCCCGAACCACCGAGGAAGTCTCAAGAGAGTCAGAGTGAAGCAGAGACCCTTCCTTTGATCACAAACAGGACAGCATATGGTCCCTTGAAGTTTTGAGTGACGAGACATTGAACATGTTAAAAGATGAACACGTTCATCATGACCCCACCAAAGAGAAGTTTCTTCAGACAAGAAGTTGCGATTAGAGTTTGGGAATTTGTCTACTCCATTGAAAGGATTCGGGGAGATTGGAACGACAGATTTTTTTCAATAGGCCACAATTGCCACCAGGTTACAATCATTCATAAGCTTTATTAATAGGGGATTACGGAAGGTGGATGCATTTTTCGAATGGAGTAGCTCCATTATGGAGCCTCCATAGTAGGCAAGGACCGGCATAGTAATCATTAATCTGACAAACAGATCATGTCCACTTTCCCCTGATTGTTTACACTTTTGTACGAACGATTCAAGGGCAGCCTTCATGTATTGAAACCTTGACGATGAACATCACTAATCACCAGCCAAAACATAAATTGAAATTCCATACGTCAAACATGTCGGAGCACTGCTACATTTTGACTTTTTACCCCATGACCCCAGACTTGAAGCTGTGCCATCGGGCACTTATTTACTGTTGTCACCTGAACTGACAGTAAGACGGGATCATGGTGTGACACAAACCAGAGTGTTGGGAAAGAGGAAGCAATATTCTAATCCATCTGAACGGTGGAACAATCATCGAAGCTTATTCCTTTAAGATTCTAGTCTCTCCACGTGGAAAACAATAGCGTACCGGTTGCCCAGCATGCTGTAGATTAAAAGTCGTCTTACCGACCAATATACTTTTCTTTTCGTTTCACAAGCGCTAGACTGATCCTTTCCTACTGGATGAACACAACAGGTCGGCTACATTCTGAACAGTAAGCTTTCACGTCGTACAACATGATTGTATCTAACTTATCATTCACACTTGGCGTTTCTTGGTGCTTTTGGTGGCGTTGCCTCTTACCCTAAAGTGATACTAGACTTTCAGCTTAATGACCAGGGTGTCTTACACTATCCTTCAGAAAAGTGTGGATTTTCATACCGTTGAAAAGAAGGGGAATTTATTCGCCATCTGGTTGTAGAATCTTCCAAATTTGTGTTCCTCGGAAGATTGTCATTGTATTCAAGTACGCGTGTATAAGATGAGCTTCTATTGTAATGATATCAAGATAATCACCTCGATATAGTTACCCCAGTCAGAATGAATGCCGAATCGTCTTAATCCTTTTCAGCCTCTACTATTTGTGCTTAGTCGCTACTTTCTGCAGAAAGAGGTTAAGATCTACAGGGACCCCAGAGTACAACCCAGCGCTAAATGAGCAAGTGTTTGATTTTTTAAATCTCAACAACGGATTTGACGACCCGTTTGGGCCTATCACGCAAATCTAATCCACACTCTCCCTGTCGACCTCCCGTCTCCTCATATCTCCTAGGCTAGAAGCTTCATGGAACCATGTACGATTTATCTAGGCGTAAAGGTTTCCCCTGTTTGCCATGTGTGTTTTCGTATTACCTTTTATCTCTCTTGCCCGTGTCGATTGACATGCATCCAGCAATCCTCTCGAACTCATCCATTTGCATCATCTCAAAGCTTAGACACGGGTCCGAGAATTGCAACATCGTTATTCAGTCGAGATATCTCTCCACTCTTCTACACACGGTTCATTTTTAGCTTCAATGAACTTATATGTACCAACATCTGTGACCTGTCTGTAGGGCGTGTCTTTGACTCCTGATTCCCGTCTTTCTTCTGGATGTAAGCCACAAGTCGCCATTTTTAACCCGAATGTTCGATTCGGTACCGAAGAAGAAGATGTTGGACGCAGAATCTTCTTCATTGACGCCTCTACCGGAATCCCTCTCTCGTGGTTTAGTTGCTGTCGCAACCTTTGGTCTGTTATCATTCTTCTGTTCGATTAGTTTATTCGTCTACCTCACATACAAGATTTTTTCATGGAAGAAGAAAACGCCCATGGGTCAAGGTCAAGGAGGTCAAACGACGTCTTCTGTTAATCAATTCTTATTTCTGATATACAATTTACTCTTGGCGGATATTCAACAAGCAATAGCATTTTTACTCAACATCAGCGCGCTCAAGAATAATGGAATTATAGTTGGAACGTCAACATGTTGGGTTCAAGGATGGTTTGTGTCGACGGGAGATTTGGCTAGTAGTGTATTCATCGCTGCCATCGCATGTCACACATTTCTCAGTGTCGTAAAGAAATATCGTGCTCCACAATGGGCATTTTATACGGCAATCGGAGGGTGTTGGGCATTCGTCTACGGATTGGCCATCATCGGTGTCGCAATGCATCCGCATGATTTGTACGTGAGGGCTGCTGCTTGGGTAAGTTCGTTCGATTTCTAGTTACCTGGAAAGATATCTAATAATCACGCACAGTGCTGGATTGGAGATCAATATCAAGATGAACGTCTATGGCTTCATTACTTTTGGATATTCGGTGCCATGTTCGGAACCATTCTCATCTACGCCTGTATCTTCATCTACATTAGTCATCAATCGCGTTCTGCTCCTCCCGGAAATCAAGCTTCCAATTGTCACGGCGCTCAACCTCTTATGATTCTCTATCCTTTGATCTATACCATTTGTACGATTCCCCTTGCCGCCGGACGTATCGCGGCACTAGCCGGGACGGAAGTCAGTCTGAGTTATTTCTGTGTGGCGGGTAGTATGATTGCGTGTAATGGATGGTTAGATGTACTCTTATACGCCAGTACCAGAGCAGAAATCGTGTTTAGTGAGTATGCACCAGGCGAGGAAACAGGTTTGGAAACGTTCGCATTTATGGGGAAAGGACATTCGTTGGGGACAACTACGACTATCGAAGCGGGGGGGTTAAAGGGTGCGGTGAGGGGGAATAGAGGAAGTGGTAATTTGGGACGGAGAGGACATGGAGCGAGTGATAGCACGGATAATCTTTACAAGATGGGAGATATTTCCGTGGCGAAAAATGTTAGCGTTCGTGTGAGTATCGCACGAGAGGGAGAATTGGGGATTGGAGGATATCCAAGGGTGACACCGGGAAGTAAAGATGATAGTGAAGATCATGGGAGTGATTCGGGATGGGATAATATGAAGGGTCGAAGGAGTGAAAGTGGGAAGAGTGGATTTAGCGACATGGCTTGATCCTTTGATCTTTAGTTAAGATCTTAGATAATGTCATGGATACTTGATGATTATTTCTTTTGTTGATTGCATTGCAAGGAGTAGATGGAATTTTTTGAGCACTGGCTCTTGCATTTACATCGCATTGATACCCAGTACGTACAATATTGTATGATTATTAGTGGGTAGGACATGTACATAGTACATAATACATATTCACATCTTTTTGTTACTAGACAGAGTTTCTCAACTTGTATATAGGGGAGATACACTTACAGATACACATCTGAAATATACACATACATGACAATCAATCTTCCATTCAATGTAAGAATCAGGATGACTTCTTCCGTCAAAGCAACGCTTTATAGAGTAGACTGCCAATAATGAAGTCAGCAGCCATTTAGGCTACCATAAATCTCACGCCTACTCAAGAGCTCCCCGCAAAAACACGGCATCTATAAACATTCAGCATCACCTCATCATCCACATTAAATCCAAGTTCTAGGAGCTTACCATGACCGTTACCATACCCGACTCGACTTTCGTGTAACTAAGACTTCCAACCCTGCCGAAACATGGGCCCGTAAGCGGTGTGAAACCTACTCTATCTGATCTCCTTCAGACACCAATTTCTCATAGTATTCCAGCTGGAGTGGTGTTGAAGGATGGCCTACCAAGGCTTGTGCCTTTAAAAACAACCTTAGTTAAAGAAGATCTGGAGGGCTTTCATCTAGTTTGAAGATATTCGGAATTGTGTACCAAAAGTCGAGATCATGTCTCAGAAATGTGGAACACATCAGCTCATCACCCGAACCCACCTCATATACTCCCTTCTGTTTTCTAGTGATGCATTGACTGCTGCCATCTTCATAACTCTCTCCAAAGTTTACAATAATCATGATCCTGGTATGTGTATCTGGAAGGTCAGCAAGTTCAATATTCACAAGCATGATATATGTTGCTTGATTTTCAATGGATTTATTATTTTGTAGCTGAATTGACTAAGAATAGGCTACCTAAAAGTCCTTCCCTCATTCAATCTACAATCTCCCAATTAATCATTATCATCTATAGCAGGATATAGAGCAAAAAGATACATGTGAAGACTTTGTTATCCGCCCCGGAAAGGTAATTTTCGCAGCCCCAGAGTGCACCGGTCCAAATAACCTCAGAAGTCTCGTATATCCAGAGGAAATGTGACCCTACCTACTGAAGCTTGGTGATTATGGGTATCGGGTGTCGCGAAGGAAACGATGGCGTGTTGAAAATATCTTGGATCTCCCTGCAACTTCCACGCAAAATTATTACCCCTCCAGAAGCAAGAAAATACAAAGAGCTTAGTCGTCACCAATAACAATGAGACGTTCCTCGAAGGGTTCTATGATATTCTCGTCTTCCTCATCGAAAAGCTCCTTGAAGTGGTCAAATTCATCGAGCAACGATCCATCCTCATTACATCTTATAAAAAGCGTCGGGAACCCCTGTGTTTGAACCGCCATAAGGGGCCCCGGAAATACTTCCCTACTGAAATGATCAACATAAAATGAAGTAATATAAACCATCCAAACTGTCCTGAGATCAATCTTTTTCCATTAATCCATGTTAACCTGCATTGTCTTCGGACCACGAGCTTCCCACAATGCGCGACTCATCTGGATATCCTGCTCAAGCTCATCCGACTGAATGCGTAGTTGAACCTACTAGCCGTGTCACAATTGTTCAATAAACGCCTCATTAAAGTCCTGAAATCGATATTCGGGGGAAGTTCCATCGAATGCTCGCTGAACACGCGGGAATTTACGGACAGGATTGAGTACAATGATGAGACGTTCGAGTATAGGACAATGGTCTTCTAATCCTGTCCAGAATATTTCCATATCTTGTTCGGTATCACATACCCATTGCATACTTATAAAATCTACAATCAAAGATCTCAGGCCTGTCAAGTCCAAAGAAACTTTGTAATCATACGTATAAATTGGAAGCAGATACATGTTTGTGAGATGTAAGGTATCCACCTCCGTATCAAACCATATACCGGATTTTGCTATCACTGTCACCTCTCGGTAATCATCGCCATCCTCATCTTCAGGATGACGGATTTTCTTATTGATACCATCGAATTTGAATTGACTATAGTGCTTCAAGAATATCTCTCTTGCCATACGGCATACAGATTGTAGAGCATATGGGAATAGCAATGCATTGCGACTGATTGACGAAGCAACATTTTCGATAGAAATCGCAGCCTTGGTATAATTGTCGCAAAATCTTACGTAGGCCAGAGCCCAGACGTTACTGTCTGGTGGTGGCAAAGCATAGAACCAAATCTTTCTTTGCAGTTCGATGGGCAGAAGTGGGAATGAAACAAATGAATCAGCTGAAGCTGTTGCAGCTGTGGTACTGAGTAAATCATTTTGATGAAGTTGTATCTCGAAGAAGTTGAACATCTCTTGAACCATGAAGATAGATTAGTCTAGTCTTCAATATATGTGTTTGAGTTCAGATTCAATAACCTACCAGGACTGTAGTAAGCTGCTTCAAATTTCTCTTTTCCAGAGGGGGTAGAGTCATTGTTAGTGTTGTGCCCAGAATCCTGATTGACTAGGCTGACTGGGGTGACTAGAAATGTTAGCTTATCAAATAAACTCAGTGAAATTATCAAGTTTTGTGAACATACCTGAACTATAGTTTATCTGGAGCATGTTTTGTGTAGCCACAGGTTTGACTTCATCATTTGTTATGACTTGATCATCTTTGATAGCTGCGGTAGCCATTCCAGATCTAATACTTCCTCTGTCTTCAACCTGACTGACATTCAGATAGCCTGGCGATACAATATCTTGACGTTGGGATTCCTTTTGTAAAGAGACACCCATAGTTTAAAGGTTTTGAAATTTGTTCCTTGATGGATTACGACTCAAACCCCAAACTCCAGACTCCAAAAACCTCCTTGTTGATTTCAGGGCTGAGAAAAGCCAATAGAAAAAAGCTGACTGGCAGAAGAACAAAGTTGTTAGAGCTTGAGGATATTGAAAATACGAAGGACAAAATGCTGTATAAGGTGGGAGTCCACCAATGAGAAGTTTCTTAAGCAACCAGAAAGAACAGGGGTTTCACATATTTTCAGTGAATTCAAGTCCTTAGCCTGACTTTCTATTTGATTTTCTTCCAACATGTTCTGGATCTGTATTTGCCTTGCTTGTTAGGATGAAAGTAGTGAATGATGAATTGCTTTGGACAAAAACTGGATAGTTTTCCCTTCCAAGGTTCCTCAGGTACTGATTTTTCTCGAATTTTTAGGGTGTAGATGACTGAATACAATGCTCTTTGAGCTTTACATGGAGGAGCCCATCTATACTTCTGGGCCTAGTGAATCTATGTGAATGAGCTTTTGAGAAGCAGTCCTGGGTAGATGAGGATAATGTAATTTGAATACCTAAGATTCCAAGCTGACACTCAACCTCAAAAAGCTACAATCTAGTTTGGAACCGCTGAAATCAATGAAACCAAAGGATTTTGCAAATTAGAAACCAATTTCTAACAGAACACAAAGTTTTAGTACTATATATATCATGAAAATGAAGTCATATTTCAATTTTTCGACCTCCTCACTTTACTCACATAGCATCTCGCCATATCAAAACTACCTCATAATAAGAAGCCCAAGGAATATCCCCCTGCCTTGAGCAAGAGATTCACGAAAATGCAGCATCAGCAATTACTTATCATTTGAAGCGGGAATCCTAGCCCTTGAGGTGTGTCGTAGAAGGGAACCACAGATGGTTTCATCTTTCTTGGTGTCAACCTATGCTAGCTACAAGCCAAATCTTACCCACTGTGAAAAAGGTGCAGCGATTGAAAAGAAGAGCTCCTGTCAAGTCTGATTTTTAGATGATAAACTTGCCTAGCCAGTTGTATACCCTCAATTACGACTGCATTTCAGCGTAGCATTTTCCTTAAATAAAATGACGGATGCCTCATCCGAAGCTTTTGATGCCCAAGTGTTGAATGTTTGAAGATGCGCGAAGTAATGGAAAGGATCTTCGGATGAGTAGGTTTCACTTTGGCAGAGTCAGTAAATTTACGCGAACGTCAGATGAGGAGGAATTATCGTTTTCCTGAGCATCAAACAATAGTTAATGTAACAAGACAAAGTTAAGCCGTAGCTGCCCACCTTGTTTCGGCTCAGACTGCTCAGACTACGCTCTCAGAATCCGGAAGCTAAGCCTCAACTGATAGGTATGCAAAAAATGCAGTGCCTGATTTGATGAGGGACGTTATTGAAGTCATCCCGCATCCCATAAACTACCGAGTAAGACACATGCTTAGTGCTTAGAATCGCGCAGAAATCCCCAGCCAGAACACACCACATTCTATTTGAAGCTTCATCAATAGCCTATCCACTATGTCACCCTAACTGCTGAGACATCATAAGACAAGTTTTGCTGAAACAATACACACAGCTTAGCTGGTATATCCTACTATATGCGGAAATGATGTGCAAACTGCGTTGATAGATTTCTCGTGCATTTGGTATCGTTCTCGAAGGGTCATGACTCCGTAGCAATTGAAGAAATATAGGTGAATGAGACAACGAGTGGATAGTACACAACGACCATTAGGGGCAGAGGATGAGGTTTCGGATGGGAAGATTCGTATGGAATTACGAGTACTGAATCATCAGATGAATCGATTGTTGATTCTGAATGCAAGGACGGGAGAGACCTGGCGTGGGGTAACGCAAATGGCACTACTCGAGTACAAGGTCTCCGTATTTGGGGGTGGGGGCACCACGAACCTCAATGAAGCAAACGTCTACACTTCCTACGCTAATGTCGAATGAAGAGAAGATTCTTGATGGTCGGTATACGGTCAGGGGAATCAAGGAGGTGTTGAAGATATTCCATTGGTAAAGCTTGCATCAGCGATAATTCATTCTCAAGAACCCGTTGAAGATGCAAGTGCTATCCAGCCCTCCAGTCCCATATCTTCGAGGGCTTCAGCGTTGGTTTGAATCTTTCCATTTGAATTGCCCCCCCCCCCCCCCTGAATAATAACCCATCCAATATCATTCATCTGGCGGTCGTGCTGAGATTGTGTCACCGAAGCCCAATCCATACCACCAAATCTTGTAGGTCGTCAACATGGCTTATTGGCATCCATCACTAACCCATCGGCAAGCGCGAGGCAAGAACGCATCAACTGCAACTGGTTGGCGAATGGTAACGCACAATTTCATAGTGAAAATGATGCGATGGTGCTTTTTGGAGGCAGTTATATCCAGAAGGGCATTGCGCCAGGGGATGTTTAACTTGACGGGACGATGAGTGTATTTGGCAGTTTTTATCGACTATCAAACAAGTGTTGTGCTACTTTTGATACCATCATACGACGTATCTGCAATGAAGCAAGAGTAGTGTGTGAATAAACCCAATCAGTGCCATTGCCCAAAGGTCCGTCTATACGTAAATCGTTGAGCCGTGAAAGGAGAGTAAGAGCGAGATTAAAAGTTAAAAGGTCGCTGTTGACGAGATAGACATGGACTTCAACGGCCCACAAGCGACGATCCAGAGATTCGTCGATAAATATGGCGATTTAAAGAAGCGATTTGCATCGGACAACGACGTCAGTCGTCTATACCATCAAGTAAGAGAGAGTTGAGAATAAACAAGCCAGACAGCCAGCAGCCATCTCTGACAGGAACTGCCCTCTGAAAACGCGTATCGCTTCTTTTGAGCAAATTTTCCAATCGAAGAGATGGATACATTGGTGAAATTGCGAAGTTCGCGGTGAGTACTCTTCAACAGAGACGAAACTTTCGTGATCTTTAAAGATTCTGTTCGGAAGGGTCAGCGTCCACAAGCAAATGATGGGTTGATAAGATGGACTTGTCTCAATACCATGGTCAGCCCAGAGAAATACTTACAACCAGCGCTCTGTACAGACAATCCAAAATTCCAGATCTGATAACTGTGATTCCTACCTAGACGTATTGTTTTCAGGTTAGAATAAACAGAAGATTTCTAAATAACTTTGGACTTAAAATTGAAGAGAGAGCTGAAGCGGCTGTTTAATACTGTCAGTTATGTATGAAGTAGATCATACAATGATCAGTAGTAGATTCAGAGCCAGTAAGACATTGTATGAACATATATGTGACAATAAATTAGCAAGAGTCTCTCTTCTTTCCAACTACCAACTTCCGATTTTCTCATTCCTAGCAAAAGAAGATGAACCAACTCCACAATTCCTCGTTCAATTCTATCGTAGTTGGAGATGTATCAAAGGAGGGAGATCAGTGAGTCCTTTCCAAGATTTGGTATAATGTCATATCCACGTAAAGTTGTACGATACTTCTTTGTACTGGAAATAACATGCAAACAACCCTTCCGGAAATCTAAGTACAAGATATGAACAACAGCAACGATACGTGTATAACAAAACGTCTCCGAACCAAACATCTCACCTATCAAACAATTCACTCATCATCATCATCATCATCATTAACAACAATAACATCAATATCATCATCATCATCATCATCATCATCATCATCATCAACAAGATCAACCCAATCCCAACACCCCCACAAAATTCTCACACAACCCCCCAAACTCAAAATGCCCATCCTCTGGGATCCCTCCCTCCACTCCCCCTCCCTCGCCTGCCCCTCCTGCACATTCCAAAAGGTAAAATGCTGTTGCTGCGGACTTCTCGGTTACAAAACTCTCGATCGCGTTTGCACTCCTTGTAGTATTTACCTTACGGGTCCTACGTTTGATGGGAATGCGGATGTGACGTGGATTGATGAGGCGTTGTGTCCGGTGTGTTCGCCAAGGGGATAGATGGGGTATGGTAAGTTTATGGAGTCGAGTGGCTTGAGCATTCAATTGTTGTTTCTTCCTTTTGAAACTTTTCTTTCGAGGTAGGAATCTCTCTTTGTGATTCTTTGTCACGTTGGCGAAACTTTTCTTTTGTTGAGTATCTAATATCAATTTCTTTATTTAATTATCTTTGTCTAATTCAGTGAGTGAGTATGTGTTGTGAAATAGTTTTGAATGATGCTGTTCTCGTATTTTTTTAATACTGGAAATTTCTGATGTTGAGGGACCTCACGACTCTTTTGACTCCTGAGTCCTGACATATCATAATGATTTTATGAATACGGAAGGTACTTTATTAAGACTGACAGGTGCCAAGCCTTCAAGTTGATGTCGCAAATGAAGAGTATTTTTACTGTTCTATCCCATTGCTCCCGAGCAAAGCTTAGAAACTTCTAGAAGACAGTCACCCAGTCAATACATCCACTAAAATCCCTTCACATTTAACACATCGATTCTTCTTAAAATTTCCATAAAAATAAATTATACTACATAAATCCAAAAAACATCATGTATACATTTCAACACATTTCCCACACATAAATCATTACCTCAGTCCCCCAATATCCTAACCAATGAACCATTATAAACCCCCCAAGTATCCACCTCCAACAACCCCATCTATGCAAGCTGACCTCTAACAACACCCAATGGGAACAGATTGGTATGAACATCCGTAAAGAATCCCGCAGGATAAGCTTCAATCTGCGCAACCTTGAAGCCCGTACCCGTATCTTGTCCTCCATTAGGAGCATTGATACCCGTTGTGAAAGGACCAGTCATACAGCCCACACTAACTCTACGATAATCATCACCGACTGGGTTTGGGAATGCAAGACGAGGAGGTCCGGATGCACCGCGAGCGGCTTCGTGGATGTGTGTTGCGGTTTTGGCGGGCGATTGATAGGTTCCAGCTACGTTGAGTAGGGTGATGTTCTAATTCATAGGAATGTTAGAGATAATTCGATGATTAGAATTTATGAAGTAAGTACTTACGTAGCAAATAGTATCTTGATGAGCATTGATTCCATAATTGAAATATCCGACAGCATCTGAAGGACCTGGAACCGAGACGGTACCATTGCGAACTTCGGATCCGAGAGCAACGACATTGTATGTGCTCGTAAAGACGAAAGGTGATCCGCCGCTTTGAGCAGCTGGGGCAACTGGCATGTCGGCTAGTACCTCGGGAGATTTTGGGTTATCTTTGGACACATCTTGGTCGCTTACTGGGGCCCCATTTGCCCATTGGTAACTACCGTAAGATGCATAAGTTGCGCCGTCAGCAGGAGCTGCGATGGTTGTGGTTGTGAAGAGGAGGGTTGTAGCTGTGGCGGTAATGGTGAACTTCATGTTGACTGGGTGAGGTCTGATTACTCGAAAGATATTAAAGGATTGGATGTTTGATTGTTCAAAGAGTAGAGAACTTAGAGCGTTGATTAAGTTGTGATTGTGTTGATGAGGAAATATGATTGAGACCAGACTTTCACTCCCTTCTTATACATATTTCCCATCCTCAATTTTGCTTTGGGAGAATTGAGCTCATGGCCAGACTTGTACTTGCCAAGAATTTGTGCTGAGAAGTTGAGGATTAGAGGCCGGTCCTAATACCAAGCATGAAGTGAAAAGCACTGATATCGCCAAGTAAGAAATCATGGCTGTGAAAACCAAACTCCAGAAGCTTTTCTAGACCTCAAGGGCAAAATTCAACAAATATCGCTTTGAGGAAGCTCCCATATCTACTGCGGATTGTTGTATTTGGAAGAATATTCACTAGATATTTCTTGGCCTTCTTGTTTATATTCATATTGGGAATCTTGTAAATGCCAAGTTCCTCGCACAACTCTGAATTGGGAAAAGAAGATGAGGATCTTGAGAAACCAGATGAATAAATGTGGATGGGGAGTATAAATAAGGTTCAATTTGCAAGCTATTTAAGTGATTACTCATGAGGCCATACCGTCATTGTGCCAAGCTTCAATGATCCCGCCACTATACAGCTAGATCGGTTACCAGCACTACAGGTCAAGCTTAATAAGTAACTGAATCCAATGCCAAAATGTTGATATTATTATCTCATTGTACCGATTGATATTGAGAAGTAAGATTGGTATTGAGGCGAAACCCCTATCTGCCAAGCAAAGTAAAAATATCTTAACCAAGTGCTATACGTGTAATACGATCCATATCGCCGACGGTGGACAGAAATGTGTGTAGCTCTTCTTAGCAGAATACGTGTAGAGGCGGGGAACCAAGATCAAGACGACAAGACGAGCAGTGGCTTAGAATCATTGTTCTCCCCACGAGAACACCCAGCCAACTGGACCTGATCCATCAGATCAATCACCATTGTGGCTTCTCTGGCAAGCCATCATTCCGTTAGAAGCGGAAATCTTGGCATGATATCTTTCAATCCTCTCAATCTGATATCCACGAGAAAGCCGCAAGATCCTCTTCTCAAATTCACTAATGCCTTTCCCTTCTCAACTCAACCTCGTCTCCCAGTGTAATCATACTAGAAATGGAGTCATTATTCCTTCGCAAAGCATCTCGTCTCGCAATCAGTATCGCATTCATGTCCCTATCACCTATTGTCCAATCTATTCGCTTCGTACTTGGAGTGCAACTTGTATTGCCGCATGGAATCTCAAGTGAAGCTCGAGCATCTTGTCTGAACCGACAATCTTTTGCCTCTTCTTCTCCGAAATCTGCAGTTTGTCTTTGTGAGAATAATCGATATTTGTTGATCATATCACGGCAGATGGTGGTATGAATGGTAATGCAAAGGCAGTGGGTATAACGCTGGATCGTTATGAGACACATGTTGTCGTGTTTGGTGGATTTTGATTTAGTCGTGGGTTTTTGGAATTTGTCGTATCGAGAACGAGCGCAAAATCATTCGTCGCGAAGTTTATATAGGTAATGAAAAGGTACGGTAGAAACTGACCAGGAGATCTCTAGGGTATTTTGAATCACTTCCGAATTAGTAATTGTATGAATCACAAGGTCAACCTTTGAAGGTTATGATGGCTGTGCGTTCTCATGCTCGCGGGAGTCTAGCAAACAATATAGTGAATGCAAAACTTTGCATAAATAAATAAATGGAAGTAAGTATCGTTGAGATTCTTCATGTAAAAACGATAAAGTAGAAGAGTGTTCGAGCGATACATGGAAATTGTCACAATCCCATTATTTCCATAACAATTTTGTTTAGACCAGTGTCTCTGGGGACTAGAAAGTCTAGGGATAAATCCATCCTAATGTTGCGCTTGAGAAAGTTTACCCAAAGCAAAGATTTTCCAAAAGAACGCTTTATAAATCCAACCCGCATTCAATTTATCAATTGCCCATCCTAGTGTTGCGCCGGCGCTAGCAAAGAAACGCTGAGGTGGCTTCTTTTGAAGGAGCTTCTCAACCACAGGCTTGGTATATACTTCGACCGGTATTCCTTCTCCAATTTTGACCCAAGCTTCGTTAAGATCGGATTCGATTAATTTATATGGAGAGTCTGCGGGTAAAGAAATCAGCAAGACATTACTAAAGGCTCGGGGATGATGATACATACCTGCTGGTAATTTTTCCATTTGATTCTTAATCAACATGACGGTACTAACTGTACCTGAAGCCACATTGATAACAAACATTCTAAAAGGCTTAAGTTCGAGCTCTAGGGTCGATATATACGAGTGTAAAGCGGCTTTTGATGCATTGTAAAGTGACTGGGTTGGGATTGGCATATACCTAGCAAGACTGCTTGAGAATACAATCCTACTTCTAGGGCTAGCTTCTATCAAGAGCGGCATAAAGACTCTAGTGATCTCAACTATTCCAAGTATGTTCGTACTGAAAATGTTTAGAGCCAATTCGTAGTCACAATGCATGGCTAGAGTTATTGTTCGTACTCCGGCATTCTAGTAAAGGATATCAAGGGTTCCACCTGTAGCCGCAGATACTATTTCGTAGGCTGCTTCAACTGAGGAAGGCGATGTTACATCAAGTTCAATCAAGGTGATATTAGGATGCTTCTCAAGAGATTTCATTGTACTGAGTCGACGAGAGCTAGCGAAAACATGGTAGTTTGGACGAACAAATTCGAGAGCTAGAGAATGCCCGATACTTCCATCACTACAACCTGTAATGAGAATTGTGGTTTCTTTGCTATGCTGGCTGAGATACTGACTGAAAGAAGGAAAGTTGTCGTGTCAAGATAGGAATTGGAAGAGTGATTTCGAGAATCTGCTGGAGGTAATCTTGCAACATTGTCGTATATTGAGATATATGTAGTCCTTCATGATGGAAGAATAGAGCGATTGTTGTACCATTTAGCTTGGAGGATAATCAGTAAAGACGAGGATTTGATAGTTAACCGGTGTATCGATTGACCAAAGGGAGTTGGGCGAGGATCATGTTGTATGTTGGTGACGATGAGATTAATGATGATGATGGATGCTGTCGCGATTGAAACATAATCGAATTCGTCTCAATGATTGGTTGTACTGCATCGCTTGAGAAAGGCACGTGCATTGAACCCTGTACATGGCTCCGAGCCCCTCCATCTTACATTTTCCATGTTCCTGCATATATCAATCGATTTTGTTAGCCATAATGGTTTCAACATATGATTGCCAGTCCATTTGTTCCAGCAGGTATTGCGGGCGAACGAATCAGATTGGTCTTGGATGACTTTCAATCTTTGGAATCATCAAATTGGTGAATCTTCATTCCCTCTTGCTACTTGAATAGCGCCAACATCGTTCTGCTCCATAATGGTACGTCGTCACGGCAAATTATCAAAAGGATTTCAGACTTGTAAGGTAAGTTGCCTGGTTAGGTCTTGAGAGTTGAGATGTATTCCTAAAGATGTATCCCTAACCACAAGTTTAGTGAGACGAAGTGATGCCAACTTGTAATCAATGTTTAAAGGCTGGCTGGGAGTGTCCACAATATGGAGATTCTTTGGAAAGAATGCTCCAGTACTCGGATGTGAGAGATTTCGAAAATTCAGCACGTGATGAACCTCTGAATCCTAAGCAAAGGGCTTCCTGTATGATATCAGGTAAGCAGCTTCTTATTCTTTGGCAAAAATGTCGTCCATGTCTTCAGCAGCCATCATTGACACTCCTTAATTAGGGCCGCTCGCATTCAAGTCTCAATCACCATCTATTATTCTTCCAAAAGGAATTTCAAACACTATCAATGATCGTGCAATTGATCTCTTTCTTTCTACTCCCATATTTCGGGACTCTGGTCCTGTCAAAGGATATTACGAGTATTTATTCTCTTACTGCAACGATTCCAATATAAGCCATACACTCTATACAACCATCACTGCAGTTTCTTTGGCTGCATATGCTTATGCCTTCAAATCTTCGTTTCTTCTTAAGAAAGCATCTCAATCCTTTGGGTACGCACTCCGTCTTGTCAATACAGCCTTGTCATCCATCGAAGAGGCCACCAAGGATTGCACTATCATGTCCGTAGTTCTGTTCAATACATTTGGAGTACTCACCTGTCAGAATCTAGATTCCTTGATGGATCGTGATAGGCATATATCTGGTGCAACATCCATGATAAAGTTACGTGGGTTTCGTCAAATGGAGACTCGGCATGGACTTCAATTGTTCCTTCAAATGAATTCAATCCTCCTACAAAGTTGTATCTGGCATTCGTTTCGATTTCCTGAGGATTTGATTGAGTTACAGGAACATGCTGCAAGTTTCTTAGATGTAAATGATCCAGCCTGGAAGTTGAACGGTCTGACAGTGGAATTGACCACGTTTCGTGCTGATATAAAGGACGGTATATTTCATGAACGTTCTTCCATAATTAGAGCAGCCATAGACTTGGACATCAAGTTTTCGTCTCTCGCGAGTGAGATGTCCAGATCACCCCAATGGAATTACGATTCGATCCCATCGCATCTACATCAGGTACGATATTCTGTACATATTATCATGTATACTCAGACCTCTGGGTGATTCAAGTTTGGAATTATCTTCGTACTTGTCGAATATTCATTTATGAAGAGATTGGTAGACAATTTAGAGAGGGGCATTCATTTACCCTATTGCCAGTATGGATTATTGGCTTTGGTTTACAACATTACAACAAATCATTGATGACATTTGTGCATCGCTACCTCAATACTATGGCAATGTTCCCAAAGTACGTACTTCATCAGGAATTAGTGGCTCACCTGAACAAAACTTCATCACAAGTGCGCTATCTACTAGTGTCGTTCCTCGTTTCGTTGGTGCTTATTTTCTTCTTTGGCCTCTACTTAATTCAGGTCGGATGACATTTTCAAATCTTCAGCGGGATTGGATTATTGGTAGATGTCGAGTTTTGGGAGACAAGACAGGCATTCAACAGATGTTTATTTTGGCAGATGTTTTGGAGAAAGGAGAGATGTTCCCTGTGTATGAGAGTTGCTTAGCAAATAATATACGATGGATCGTAGATAGTTAGGGGATTCGTTTTTGTGTCTCTGTGTCTGATCACGCTTGTGTATCTTCATGATCTTCATTGCAGATGTCTCTTGGTGAGTTTTTTGCGTTTCGTTTCTCTTCTACGGGCACTTGCATATACTCCATGCTTTCGGTCATGTGTGTTTGTTCCAAGCTCAATAGACCCAATTCCAAAACTTAGGTACTGCATCGTGCTAAAATCACGTACCTACGAACACCTTCAAAGTTGTCTCCTTTCATCTCCTACAGTAACTTACTCGTCCCACCAACATCCGGAAAATGAAGATCTTCAGGTAAATAGGGACACTTTACCGGAGAAGCAAAATTCAAGAGTCAATTTACTTTATATTTCTAAATTCCATTACCAATATCTCATTATACATAAAACTATATTTTCCCCATGCATCTATTCAACAATGGCATACCATTTGAGTTCTCTCCCACTAAGCTCCAAAATTGGAATTTCATTCCCGTTCTTTCCCCTATAACTAACCTGGCTATCCCCCTGAGCATACAAAACTCCACCCGATCCTGATCCAGTTTCAGTCCCGTTCGCAACCTTCTCTCCCACACTTTGTGCGGGGACAAATCCACCATTAGCAGCTCCTGCCCACGCAGTCGCATATTCACTATTTGTCCCGTGCATCGCTACACATACGGGTGTGATGCCCAAGCTGGTAATAGCGATTCCGATATTATCGCCCGCGGCGACTTCTTTTCCGACGGGGATGGAAATTGCCAAGACGGCAGCGCTTAATTCTTCGGGTGTGACGTCGACGGTAGAGAGGGTTTCCCATTTGTAGAAGGGGGAGAAGAGAGCGGTGGCGTTGGGGAATCGGAAAACGGCCAGGGTGACGTTGTCGGTTGGGGCGTCGCCGGCGAGGTTGATGCCGACGGTTGTGAGGTTTCCGGATTGCGGGGTGGAGAAGGTTTGGTAGAGGACGTACTGGGGGAGCGAGCAGTTGAGGTAGTAGTCTTGATGTCCGTTTCCGGAACCGAGAGTGGCGCTTTGGGCTAGTCCGTTGATTGGGGTACTGCTGTTGGTGGATGGGAGAGTGATGGTGGTGCTGACGGAAGCGGAACAATCTAAATTTTGAATTGAACCGTCGGTGTTGAAATTGAGAACTTGGAATTGATGACCGTGTTGTGCGTTTCGGGGGCCGGCAAGGGGAGCGCTGGCTTGAATATCGGCTTGGTGCACGTAGATTGCTTCGCCGCCGGTAGAGGATGGAATGGTCAAAACACTGGTTGTTTGTCCACCGCATGTATCGCTGCTGATGATTTGACGAGTCCACGGTCCGGAAATGTCTGTGGCGCGGTACATGATCAAGAGAGTTCCTTGGCAGAAACCACACGTGTTGGATGCGGAGATGTAGTAATATCCATCACGGTAGAAAATATCTGGAGATTCAGCTTGGAGATCTACGAGATCTCCTACGGGGAGAACCTGTGTTGCATCTCCGGTCGTGTTCATGAAATCGCTGGACAATTGCTGGATGTAGATGGATTGTTTGAAGGGAGGCCAAATAGAGGCCCCGAGAGTGGTGAAATCAATTAGAGCATAGGCGATATAACCCGTTCCGTTAATCATGGCGATGGAGAAATCGCCCGCTTGGTGGGTTTCGGGTTCGGGCTGGTATCCTACGAGAGCACGGGAAGATTCAGGCACGAATCCGGAGGTGGGAGATGAGGATGTGAAGATGACGTAGCCGGGTGTACCGGCGTTGACCCAGAGGATGTAGAGAGCGCGGGATGAATCGTAGATCATGTGTGGTCTACCGCAATCACCTGATGATGCGCAGATGGTGGCAGCGGCGATTTCTTTGGGGTCGAAGAGGAGACCGTTGGAGGACCACTGGGAAATGTTAGATTAGTGCTCTCATCCAACTTATCCCATGATTTCCAAAAATAAAGGATCGGTTCTCAGCAAGCTGTCAAGCTCACGAGATAACAAGATGCAGGAAATGAACATACCGTGACTAAATCTTGCGAACTCCAACTCTCGATTCCGCAAAACGCTTTTCCACAGCCGAAATTCAAACCGTACCATAGAAATTGTCCTTCGAAATAATCGATCTTGCCCGAGGTGGAATCGATGAGATCACCGTCTGTGGAAAACATGTTGACGAAGGAATTGGAGATTGTGGTGTTGAGACACGTGGCGGCTCCGAGGAGTGAGGAGCCTAGGAGGAGGGTGGAGAGGAGGGGATTCCGCATTTTGGTGGTTGTATGTGGGTTGTGTGGGTTGGTGTAGATGTATGGTATGAGAATGAGAAGAAAGGTTCTTCTGTTCTGTTCTGTTGATTTTCCAACTCCGGAGGAAGTGAGGAGGAGGAAGAGAGAATTAAGTATTAAAGAAGAGGGAGGGTGTATAAGCAATCTTCTTCCCCATTCGCAATTCACAACTTCAAACTTCAAAGTTAGAACGTAGAACTTGAGAAATTGTAACATCAAGGGTTCAACGACTCCCCTTTATATACCCGTTCATCCCATGATTCCCATCTCATTCCATGCCATCTCCCATCCGTCTCTGCATCTCAACTCTCAGATCACTCCGTCATGACATGTCCATGTCCAAGCCTCGGGACCGGGTCCTTGCACCACATCCACCACAACCACTTCTTCAAATAATTCAGGTACGAGAAAAATAAAATGTAAAAAAATTCCCATCATCATCAAAGCCAAGTCTCATTCTCCATCCACACATCCACATGTATAGGAAACCCCCTGAAGCGTCCACCTCTTATTACTTTACGCATTTGAATTTTTCGTAGTGATAATCTCCCGCGGTTGGCAAACAATGGGACGATCTGTCATATTTTCTATGGAATGATTACCCAGCACGTGCCTAGACATGTAATGTACACACGAAGTCCAACGCAGACTGTCATACGCGCAGCTGATATCCCCAGATTTTCACCTTCTCGTCCCCGATCCCCATACTTTTGCGTCCACATATGTGCGGAATATAATATCATCCTTGAAGACTGGAAGAATTTTTATGTGATTAAACATGGAATCCCATTTTTCTTCAAGGTGGACGGACGGATGGATGGACGGTGGGCTTGGTTGGTTGGTTGTTTGTTTGGTTGGTTATGAATGGACTTTTAGTGTCTTTCCTTCCACCTTTGAGATCTTGGTATTTGGTGCTACATTACCAATGGTAGAGTTTCCAAGATGGAGATGGAGATGGAGATGGAGAGAAGTTTTCCAAACTTCAACATGAAGGTGGAGGAAAGTTGGACGGCGTAGGGATTGGCTATTGTGCATGATGTGTAATCACATTTGTCACATCCACCAGTGATCTAATCCCATTTCATCAAATGAACTGAGCTAGAGCAGAATGAAAGCTGCCACGCCGACGGGCAAGATTTCTCCCAAGATTTCTCCCAAGATTTCCCCCAAGATTTCCCCCAAGATTTCCCCCAAGATTTCTCCCAAGATGGCTCGATGGGTAATCAATGGCAGTGAGTGAGTAACGGCTCGGATGCCCTTCTCAATAAGGAAATGGATCTAGGGGTCGTCCACTCTCCAGTTCCCCACATCCCCGCACTGGTTCCCCATCTCGTGTTTTATTTTGTGGATGGATGGTGTTGGGAGTAGGAATGAGCGGATTATATAATCTAGGGATTGAATACATAACGTAGTTTATCAGTGGGTCGGCCATTTTTATCTCGAATTATTATTCTATATTCAATATGCATTTTCTTTATAATTAATTATGAAAATTCATTCTAAAGAAGTATATATAATTTTAACTATTTAAGCTATTAAATTAAATAAAAAATTATTAATTCAAAAGGTAACTCAGTTTTATTATATATCTCGAACTATATTAAGTAATAGAATTTAAAGTAAATCTAATATAGTTAAAAGTTAATCAAAAACTTATAATTTAATTAAATTAAAAGAAATGGTATTTATTTAATATATTCTTAATATAGATTTGAAAGGTTTTTTATTTAAATTTAAGAATATAAAAGATATAATAAATTATATTCTCAAATTGAAGAATATAAAATGTATTAGGAAGCTTTAAGTATATCAATTTATAAAGTATTGAATTAAATTAAAGATATGTTTTAATTATATTTATAATTTTCAAAGAATTTTTTATGAGAATTTTAAGTTTATTAAAAAATGGTTTTAATTAATTGTAAATATATAAGTGAAATATAGTATTTTGAATGGAGATTTTTATAATTTTAATGAAATAGACTTTATAATAAGAATTATATACATAGTAATAGTTATCATTAATACTAAGAAATATAATAGAAATAAATCTATATAGCTAGATAATTGAGAATAAACTATAATAATAATATATGAAAATAAAGAGGATGAAACTATTCCCTTATTTTTAATGATTTAGGGATAGGTTTATCTCTCCAATTGATATACTAAAATCAATCTTCCTATAAAATAGGCTATTAAACCTATATCTAATAGGTGAACAAATAATAAGACAGGTTTAGAATAATTGAAACATTTTAATAAGTATATTAAGAATTAAAGAAAGAATAAATATTAAATATTGATATTAAATAGGCATAAAAGTTATAAATCAATAGCTTTTCAAATATATTATAAAAAGAATAATATTATATATTTATATTTATTATTATATTCAAATTATTTAATTTAATTATTTGATATTAGTTATTTTAGTAATCTAAAATGTTTATATAATGATTAAATTGATGGATTTATTAAGGCATATATTAATCATATTTCGAAGATTGAATTCTTTATAGCTTTTAAAACTATATATAAAAAATCAATCATCTTTTAGAATATGAAATCAGGATTTTAAAGAATAGGTTTAATTTCATTCAATCCTAATGTTACAGAGGTACCTGTTACGAGAGCTGCCTCTAAGGTCATGTAAAAGTGTCTAGAATTCTTTCGAAATAGTTTAGACTAAACTTCAAATAGAAATTCAATAAGATTGTAATTAATTACAATTCTCATAATTATAGTAATGAAATTAATAATTGT